TCATGCTACAATCCCTTCTCCTCCATTTCTCCATCCGGTTGAGATTTTGGGAACGCATGCACATGTGTCCACTGTATTTTACAAGGCACCAGGCTGGGGTTTGATGCACAATTGACCATGAGGGATCTGACTCCCTTAATCTCTAGGCCAGGTAGACTTATGCATGCATTTCAGTTTTTTTTTTTTTTTCGGCCAAAAGTCCATTTCCATGAACTTTTCAAAGTCCTCATGTACAACTTTATAAATTTGAAAGAATTTTTATTGGGTGTCAATACTTAATGTTTCTTCAACAGCATTTTGAATGTCTAGGTTAAGGGGTACCTATTTTCCATGACATTTAATCGGTGCTTATTCACATAAACACCATTTCCTCTTAAAGATGTAAGCCTATGTCTTGTTAGAGGCATATTTCCTGAAGAATAGCATCTATTATACTTCTTTATATTTCTCATGGTGCCCAGAATAAACAAACAAAAACACAACAAACAAGCAAAAAAAAAAAAAAAACAACCAACAACTGTATCATTGTAGGAGATCAGTTAAGTAGCAGTTTAATGAAGTGGAGAATGCTAAGAAAGGGTTATTTTAGCATATCATTTGACTATTCTGAACTTGTTAAATGGAGAGAATAGTGTGGGCTCTGATAGTATTGTGTAGTTTTTAAGTAAGGGTTGAATTTATGGGTATTAAGATTTTATGTAGATTATACGAGGCATCTTCAAAAAGCCTGTAGAAATGTATTATGCAAAAGTATGCATGCATTTCAATTTCTTTGGTACTGACATAAACTTGTTCTTTAATTCCATTTTCCACAAATTTTCTAGAATCCCCTCATATACCAAGAAAACCGATAAAAAAGAGAAGGTATCATGGTCAGTTGTTTCTAAAAGAAGATAAAAATCAGTAAGCAAGGTACTTGGATTTCTGAATTACGAAATTTATTCAGGGTTTATATAGGGACTGTAATTGGTCTTAGCCACAATTTCTTGCACTGGTTATTGTAACAGCTCCCTAAATAGTCTCTCTCTGTTCACACATGTCATTCCCAGTTTACTCGCCCATCAGCAGCCAGAAGCATCCTTTAGAATACATAAATACCAACTGTTCTCCATTGCTCCCAGTTTTCCAATGGTTTCCTGTCCCACACAGAACTAAATCGAAATTTCCTATCACAACTCACATAGACCATGCCCTGAGCCCTGTTGGCCTCTCTGACCACATTTTCTACCCTTCTCCTTTGTCCACTCTGCTTTACAAGCATTGGAGTTCTTGTTCTTCCTCAAACAAACCAAAAAGCCTTCTATGGGCTTTTCTCACTGAACAGCATGATTTACTTTCTCTGTAGCTCCGTGCAGCCGTGAGAATGGAGGTGAACACCTGTGGCATTACCTGGTACTGGCTGGACCTCATGGGCAAGAATGCGGCAGCTACACGAACGTCCTATCTCTAGGCTCTATGCTCTAGAAAGGGATGCTGTCCCTCTCCTTATGGGGCAAGTATAATGCAACCTTGTCCAGAAAAATCTGCTCAGGCTCCAGACAGTCAATTTAGGTGCAATCTGTTTGCAGAAGTTGCTGGGAAAGCCAGGTGTGTAGTATCTGGACAACTTGGGGCCTATGGGAAATTGTCTCCTCTCTTTTGGAGCAAGGAGAAAGGACACTACTACTTCTATGAAAAGTAGGTAGGGCCATGCCCACTGGGATGAAGGTCAGGCCAGCCTTAGCCAGTCCACTGCTAGCTAACCTGGGGTAATTCTCACGGAAGATTTTGAATGCTTTTCTCCACACAGACTCCATTCAAATGTCACTTGCTCAGAGAGGACTTCTGGGAAAAGCCTTTGTGGCTTGATAAACCCCTCATAATCATTCTCTATTTTCCCTCATGACACTATGCCCACTGGAGCAGTCACTGTTTATTTGTTGTGTCTCCAATGACTAGAACTTTAGTTACATGGTACCAGCAAGTCTGATACAGCTAAATGTACACAAGTTACCTTGTGTCAGCAAGGCTTGTCACTCAGTATGTACTCAGTATTTGTGGGAAGGATGCTGATGGAATTCCATATATGCAATAATTTCTAGAATTACTTGCATTAACACCTTCCAAAGTTTAAAACAAGTCACAGAGAATTTATTATTACGAAGGGCTTTGGGGGATTCAAAAAAAATGACAGAATGTGGGCTCTGAAAGAGTCACATGGGAAATGACAGAATCTTATATTTCTTGGCTATAAATATCTATGTAAATTATTTCAAATATGAACTCCCTTTACACATAAAAACTTGCAGTCGGCTTCCCCTGTGCTTAACGATGATTGTACTACAGCCATGTATCTAGAGAATAAAGGAAGTGCTTGGTCACCGATGCTTCACATTGGAAGGGACTGGAGAGGTCAATTTTACTATCTGGAGGCCTCTCTCCTCACAGAAACTTCTTGGAATAGACCTGTCTCTTCTATTAACAAATCAGTCTCCAGATTCTCTAAGTATTCCCACAGGACACCTTTCTCATCCTGCATTTTCCATAATGGACCTTCCATAATACTCTGTATTGCCCCTGCTTTTTGTGTCCAGAGCCCCTTTTGAAATGCAGCACTTAGCACGAAGCACAGGGTCCTGCACCTGGGCTGTGTACTGGATGCTGAGAAAACAGAAACAAACAAAAACCTGTCTTGATATAAAAAAGTAAAATACCATTCTTTATAGTGTCATAGGGGAGACAACATTGTCTTTTATTTTGTAATTCATATAGTTGATTAATAGACTCTTTATTTCTGATTCCTGAAGGTTAGAAATTAAAGAAGGGAAAGGCATTTTCTTACAAGATGATGGTAATTTTTACCTATATTAAGAGGACAAAGATTCTTCCGTTCAGGGACATATTAAACTCAATACTCTTTTTAAAAAGCAAGGAGTTTGGGATAGAATAAAGCTGAACAAATTTAAAAAGGAATTAAATTACTAGAGTAGTATTGTAGTCTTCTAGATTATAGGAGATCTGAGTCGGATGTCCAAACTAACTGTACTTACTTTTCTTGATAGTGATAGATATTTGACAAATCTTAAAATAATCGCTTATCTCAGTGAAGATACTTAATGAGAATAGGACAGTGTGGAATGGGGGAGGTGAAGAGAAGAGGATAGAGAAAGACAGCAAGAGAACAACAGAGAGGCAGGACGTTAGTGAGAAACAGATATGGCCTATTACCTGTTGATGATGACATGTATAGTATTCTCAACTGGATTGGTCTGAGAAGTATTTCATGATGGGCAAAGCCTTTTTACAAGCAAAATGAGAAATAGTGATTGATTGTTTTTAAAAAATAATTAGAATAATAATAATGATTGGGGAAAACATAGAAAAGATATTGAATGTTGAAGCGGGAGATTAATGTCTCTGTATTGACTGACATGCATGGCATTCCCTTTTGAAAAAAGCAATGTAATACACTGTAAAGTTATATGTAATCCAATGTAATATAAAGTAGATTATAATGATAATAAAAAAGAAAAAAAGAAAAAAACAATGAATATGTAAATTAAAAAAAATAATCGCTTATCTCATTACAATGTCTTAGTTTCCTCATCTACAAAACAGAGATATTCTGCCTCCTAGGCATAGAACATAAAGGGATATTTATGTTCTATGGACATTTATATCCATGGAAAGACACGTTCAATAACAATGGAAGAATCATTTATTAAGCATGTTGAATTTAATAGGCACTAGAAAGGTGATTCACATAATTTTTTTTCTCATTAAGTCCTCAGAGCAGCCCTCCTACAGGGGGTATTGTTTTATCCCCAATTTAGACATGATAGACTCTGAGGCCAGAGATGTTAATTCATTTTTCCAATGTCAAAAGGCCAGTGAGAAACAGAGCTAGGATTCAGACTCACATCTCTCAGCTCTGTAGGATCCCCAAATCATGACTCACACACTGCAAAACTCACTTCCAATGTCCTGGCAGACATTACAGATGTTCTAGTACTCACTTTGGAATCCTTTAGGCTGACAGTACTGATGGCAGAAAGGCCCTTCTAGAGCCTTTCAAAGACTATGCTTTGTAACAGTGGTCCTGATGTCCTGCCTCCAGAGATTCTCATGCAGTGAGTAGTCCATGAGGTGAAGTGAAATTTGTATTTTGCAGGACTCTCCACATGATTTTGATCATAGTCAGGTTCAGTAACCATTGCTTTCTGCACCTGTGTTCTAGGATGCCATATCATTTTTGTTTGTCTATTTGTTTAGTTTTTAGACTCCTGAAATTGAAGAAAGAGCTAGGCCCTAATCTTAGGTGGCAAAGGCAACTATTGACTAGCTACTCTTTATGGAATGCCTTTTAGAAGAAAGGCAGGTCTAATAACTATAATATTTTGCATTTGTGAACCACCACCAGTCTGTAAGGAGGAATTAGTCATACTCTTCCATGACAAATATTGAGTGAATTTAAAGATATATGAGCGCCCTCCCTCAAATATGACTGTGATGAGTTCAGAAGGGAAGAAAGACATCTTAGCTATGCTCCAAGAAGCCCCTGCTTAGAAGAGAATCAAATACAAACACATAAAAGGGAAATCTTGCAATTTGTGATTCATTAGCAATCCCATTCCTTTAATTCACAACAAATGGACTTAAGAAAACACCCAAAAACCTAGTAAACTCCTGCCAAATGATTACTTCATGTCACCTAAGATTATACACCTGATGAGAAAAAGCAGCAATACTGCATTCATATTCATGAATGTTGCAATATTTTTTGTCTATTTGGAAAATTGACCCAAGTAATTAAGGAGTATGGGGAATTACGAAGATGAAAAATATCAGGAAAACAGTGTTCACAGAAGTTATCAACACTATTTTACTCTTACTGTTACATTTTAATGACTTAATTTTCAAGGATGTAGTTCTTAAATTGAAATTTCTGGGTTAAAAAAAAAAAAACCCCAAAAACCTTTATGGTCCAAGCAATGCAGGTATTTTTCAAATAGCAAACTTACTTCTGTGGCTTTTCCACGAGGTATCGAAAGTGTTTGCCTCCAATGATTTTCACCATGATCTCGGGCATTGCCTCTGATCCACAGGGAGTTTTCCAAACTGTAGACATGATTCTTCTCAAAAGTCCTTCAAATCATTGGGGGTGAAAAATAAATTATTCCTCTTGATTATCCACTAGGCAACTGTAGCATAACTTGTTCATAATACAACAACCATAGCACGACCAGGTGCTTTACTTACATTATCTCACTTAGCACTTCTAACAAAGACAGGCGTGCCTAAGGAAACTGTTAATTACTGTTTTCGTTCATGTTTAAACCAAGGGGACAGTCAACAGTCGTACTGAAGATAGACAACTTTGTCAACATTGCATAACCAGGAATGAGCAGAGGTGGCACTCCCACCTCAGAGATCGGAAAAGCAAATCCAGTGCATTACAGGGGACTGTATCTTCCTGTACTACAAGTCTTCTGATGGGATTCTTGTGAGGTCAGCTAAGAAATGAGGACTGTAGGGGAACATGGGAAGAATCCATATCGATTTCTGATACTTAGTTTTCCCATTTGTGAAATCAGGAATAATTCCAGTTTTCTCAGGGACTTGGGGTGACTCTGACAAAACAACAGGCTTTTGTTGTTGTCACCAATCTGTATCTGCAACCATCCAGTGAATCTGAAACCGAGATCCTGTACGAGATAAGCCCTTGGTATGTACACAGGTCTGATGCCAAGGGAAACAAGTTCTGTAAACCTGGCTGCAGGCTGACCACTCCCTCTTAGAGCCCTAGAAAGGGGAGAATCTTTAGATGTCATTCTAATCCTAATGCTCACTTCACACATTAGGAAACCAGAGCCCAGAGAGGGTGTGTTATTCCACCAAGGTAATAGAGAAGTGGGGGCAGGATTGTTTCCAGTATTTTGGTCGATAGTTAGACCAGGGCTGTCCTGGAGAACCCAGCTTCACTTAGTGTGCAGAGAGCACTACGGAACTGCTCTGTCAGAGTTGTGGTCCACTCCCCACTCCCCACTCCCGCCCCCCACAGCGGGTCTATCACCTTTTGGAAGCTGTCTGCAAATTTAAGGGCTCAGAACTTGTGATGGTCAAGTCCTCTCCCTGACCTGCAGCTGTGTCAGTCCTAAGCCTTTCCTAAGGAGAGACCGAGGGCACCTTACCGCTGAGGCGGCGTCCCCTGCTCAGAGGTGCTCCAGTGCTTCTAAGAAGCCGCCAAGCCAACACCTGGGGGAACCGGGATGGCTTGCATGCGGGGATTGGAGCCCAGGAATCTGGCCAATCATAGGGCTGGGCTCAGGGGCGGAGGCTGCTCCCTCCCTGGTCGCCAAGGACGCAGAAGGCTGTTGTTGGGCGGGGACCAGGTTCCCAGATTCACATCCACCTGGAGAGGCAGTAGCCCTCCTCTGTCCTCTCCCTCAGCCCAGTGCCCAGGACCTGGCTGCCCACAAAGAAAGAGCATGGGTCTTTTCAAGTCTGTGCCATGGCGCTTCCTTCAAGATTGCAGATCTCAGCCTGGTTGCACCACTCTCCCTGAGGCTTCATCTCCCTCTCTGAGATTTGCATGCAGTTGGGATTCTTATGCCATAGGTTCTAATCCAGACGTCTCCACTGCAAGGCATTGGGTAAATCCCTTCTTTTCCTAGCGATTCGGTATTCTGATCTGTAAAATGGTGCGAAGTAGACCTAAGGAGAGTTGGTGATGAAATTAATAATAATAAAAAGTAATGATAATTTTCGGTGCCTTTCAGATGCTAGATCTATTATTTGAGTGCATAACTATTACCTTGTTAAGTTAATAATTACTGAAATAGAATTATTGCAAAGAGAAAAATATGAAACTTGGGGTGTTGAAAAATTACACAAGTCCCCACAGTGGGAAGATTCAAATGCATCTGCAGTACCCAAATTTCCAGGCACTTTTTATTGTGCTGAATATGAGTAAAGGCACTTTAAATTGACTACAAAATGGTATTTTTCTATGAGTTAGAACGTGACATGGGAAGAGAGGAGTGGAGGTGGTTCCCTTGCTCTTCCATCTCAGCCTTCACAATGCTGCCAGATCAGTCTTGCCAAGGCCCAGCTCTGACTAACCTCCTCCTATAAGCAAATGGCTCAAAGTCTCATCAGCCATGAAATGTCAGTGGTCTCAAGATAAATATCTAGCTTGAGCTCCCACCACTTCTACACTTGCTATGCCCCATTCAGCCCAGTTAACTCACTGGCCCTTCTCTGACTCTGTGCTTTTGATCATTCTGTTCCTTCTGTCTATGGGGCCCTTCCTTTTTTATTTATTTTTTTTTAATTGTGTTAGTCTGCTTATCTCTTCTTTAAGTTCCATTTCAAACGATCAAAAGTATGCACTTTGGCATCAGAAAACTGAGTCCAAATCCTAGCTGTGCTAGTTCAATGTGATCTTGGGCAAGTCATATCATAACATTCCGTCTTAATTTCCTTTTCTGGAGTTTAAGTGTGTTATATATGGCATTAAGACAATGCTTGACACATAATGAATGATAGAAATGGTCACTATTATCATTATCTGTCAAGAAGCCAAACTAGGTCCCAGAAGCTGAAAATGATTTCTATATATTAAATGTTCTTTGTAGTTTCTCTTTTAGAAAATATTCTTTCTTTACTTAAAAGTATGGCTGTTTGCTTTGGTGGTCAGACTTTCTTGGACTATGCCATACACTGATCCCCAGAACCTGTGAATGCTGACTTTTATAAGTAATTTGGCAGATTTTATTGAATTATGGATCTTGAGATGGGAGATTATACTGGATTATTCAGGTGGGCCTTAAATGTAGTGTTGTTGTAAGAGAGAGGCAGAAGGAAAGGTAAGAGATGTGACAATGGAAGCAAAAGGGCACAGTGATTTAAAAGGGGGATCAGAATCCAAGGAAGCTAGAAAAGGCGAACAGAAAGATTCTTCTAGAACCTCCAAAAGGCACCAGCCCTACTGACTGCTTGACTTCAGCTCAGTGAAACTGACTGGATATCTGGCCTCCAAAAGTGTAAGAGAATAAATTTTCATTGTTATAAACCACCAAGTATGCGGCAATTTATTACAGTGGCTATAGAAAAAAAAACAAATGGCATGCTACCCAAGAACTGTTTCTTTTTCTTTTTTTTTTTTTTGGTGTATTTCTTAAATAACTAGAGGAGTATCTAAATTATAGTAAGCCATACAAAATAGTTTTGATTAAATGAATAAAGAAGAGAGCAAAAATTAAACATTAGGATTTTTTTTTCTGAAAAAAAAAAGACACTAGTGAATTTGGTACTTAATAGAATTTTGTCTAGTGATTACACTGTCCCTTTCTTTGATTCAGTGAATAGGACTTTCTTTAGAAGCAACTTTTCCATTCCAAGGAGTCCTTATAGAGGCTGTCAATCAAAGTGTTTCTTCCATCCCACTTCTTTATGGAACTGATCACATTCTATTACTTAATTGGACCACGTAGATTTCTGACCAATGACTGTTATACAGATACTGGGGGAAACAGGTCTTCTCTCTGTTCAGGTTACTAGATTGAATGGATAAGGTGCTGAAGCTTTTGTCATCAGTATCTACTGCATTTTTTTTTTTCCAGAGAAAAGGAGGAAACTAGCCAAGAGAGGGAAGCAGAGCTGAAAAAGGAGCCAATGTGAGGAAAGAGAGATAAGTAAAGAACCTGGATCCAGCTATGCCTGAAATTAATTTTTTAAATTCTCAAATCCAAGAGTAATAAATTCCTTTTTTGCTTGAGGTATTTTGAGATGAGCTTCATTAATCTTTATCCGAAGAGTCTTGTCTAATACAGAGACACTTAAACTTCAGGTTGTTGAAGTTTATGTGTGGGGACAGTTCATTGATTGGATGGCATTGAATTTTATCATAAATTCTGTGATAAAGCTTGAAGGAGTAAATCAATTTTGATTAAATCAGTTATTTTACTAAAGACTATCCTTTGACCTTACTGTGACTTTATCAGTTTTAAAAATGCCAACTTGAAACGTAATGGTGTTAGAGACAGGCTTCCTATAGAGTAGTTCTTATATCGGTTTGATATTCAGATGAAATTTATGTATTTTTTTAGGCACAAGGGAGTCTCTGCTTTGTCACTTCATAGCCAAGTGACCTTGAACAAGTAATTGAACTCTTTTATCTGTAAGGTAAAGCCAATAAATAATTACTTTGTAAGATTATCAGGATTGGTGATAATGCCGCTATAAATCCCTGACATACAATAGGCTTCCAATATACCATCTTCTTGTTTATAATTGCAGCAGCTAACATTTAGTGAGTAAAAACCCCTTAGACACTGTGCCAAGTTTCTCACTCAACATCATAGTTTTTATTCATAACAATCTTATGAAATAAAGCCTATTAATGCTCTCATTTTACTGATGAGAGACCTGAGGTTTTGAGAAGATACATAACTTGCTCAATAAAATGCAACCAAAAAGAGTCAGTAGTGCAATAAAAATCCAGGTGTATCTGACTCTAGAAGAAGCCTCCATTGCCCTTACTCCATGCTTCCTCGGTGGATGTCACTTATTGTTATTACAGTGATTATGAGCGCTAATGGTTTTATTGGTGTTATTTTAAGGCTCTAAGTCCTTACAGAATGTAGATTCTGTAACAGAATTCTTGGTGTGTGTGGAGGAGAGAGACCTGGGGAAGAACATTTGGAGGAGGGATAAGGAGACAGCATTGTTGAGACAGGGAGGTAGTGTTGTTATATTTTGATCAACTCGATCGGGGAGAAATGTTCACATATTAAAATGATCACCTTGTAAGCTAAATAATGTGATAGAATGTATTAAAAAATGTAAATAAAAAAGAGGAATGGTCTTTTCTTATCTTGGATTTTCTACTTCACACTCTGCTTTATGAAATGACATAACTAGGAAACATCTCTCCAGTGGTTTGTATTAAACAAGGCAAAAAAATAAAAAAAAGTTACGCAATAAATGTCTCCATAAGATTAAATACTGTGGTTAAAACTGCCTTCCTTGGATTCAACAGCTTTAGATTATGAGTCACCAGAGAAAGATTCCACAAAAACATCTCCATCCAATAGAGTCAGCGCTCTCTCTTTCATTCCCCTAAAGAA